AGACCACGGATCATGGGTGTCGAATTTTTTTGTTGGGCACAAAACTACCTCGCGCCCAAGCTTCTACGCGTTTGGATTATTTACAGTCAATTTCAGCTGACTTTTCATCGTAAGATTCCGAACTTCGCAAATTCGTTGCCAAGTTCAAAAGTTCATAATAAAATTCACAAACAGGTTTGTAAACTGGGCATTTGATTGGCTGGTTTGATTTAATAGCCAATCAGAGGCTTTGTTTACAAACCTGTTTGTGAATTTCATTATGAACTTTTGAACTTGGCAACGAATTTGCGAAGTTCGGAACGAAGTTCGGAATCTTACGATGAAAAGTCAGCTGAAATTGACTGTAATGAGCGTAACAATACTTCAGTCCAAAGGATCTATTTAGTACGGCTTTGTGAATATGTCTGCGAAGCCACTAAGAGGTTTCGCAAAAATTATAGAATGACTTAATTTTTGAAAGAAAACGATATACTAATAATTAATGCGAAAATCGTACAGATTTCGTTTTTGCATTGCCAAATATTTCTTCCGGGGACGCGATTTACCCTTCTATGATCCCGAATACGCTGCGCTTTCGCAACGTGGTCGCGCAAAGAAGTGTAATATCGCGATTCAGACTTTATTCTAATGCCCTGTGTTGTCTTACGGATCAGGGAAAGGAAATTAACAAAACATATGACAGTTTTTAGCAATTTTTATTAAGCGATACGTCAGTTCAGATAATAAAACCCGTAATTACAACGATGCCCAAGCACTATACAGTGTCATTTAATACACACCGAAGTCAGAAGGCATGCTGTATCGCAGCATATTTTGATGTTTTAAAGTCTTTCGCTAGTGAAAGAAAATGTGGTATATCTTTCATGCTTTTAATTTTACCTATACGTTGTTCTAAAGTTAAACATTAAGGATACTGGCTTGTGCAACATGTGTTACATGTGCAACAGAATCGAACAATACAATCAATTTTTTGTAGTTAATGCTGCTACAACCGGCTATTAATTTAAAGCATTAGCTGCAAAACACAGTAAATCTTGCAATACGAAATTTAAAGTATAGTTTAATGGTCAGTATAATCGGTAATGCAGACTATTGAATAAGTATGCAAACTGCAAACTATTGAATAAGTATGCATGGCTACTTCGATCGTTAGTAAATATAATGCGTGCATGTCTCTCGACTTTGTTAAATTATTATATATTTTGCATATATACTGTAAGTAAAAGTAATATTACGATTTCGAGTGCAATTTGGATATAACATGCACGAGTGAGTTTTTCCAAGACCTTGAAATAGCACGAATCCGAAGAACGAGTGCTATTTGAGGTCTTTGAAAAACTCACGCGAGTGCATGTTTATCCAAATTTCACGAGAAATCATGCTATTACTTATTAATAATTTACCTCAAAATGTTCTAGACAATTGTAGTTCTAACTTGTTATACCCGATCACACGATACAACGCTATTTGATTGAAAATTCCACTCAACTATGTAAGTTTCGTTAGTCTTGTTTAAGGCAAAGGCTTTTCCATTTAAAAAAATTTAAAGCCATATTTTCCAACCGAAGACAACTTTTACTTTATGTAGGGCAGCGCCGTATTTGTTTTTGTTTTGAAGCAATCTGTGACCGTTACTTCTTTAAACTAAACTGCTTTAAACAGATTGGTTGATTTTACCGTCACATTGCTTTTCGCCCAATCAGATCAGTTTTTACACATTTTTGTACTGTGATTGCAGAAAATTGCACTGTGATTGCAGAAAATTGCACTGTTGTTTGGAATTAACCGCACTGAAATCAACTAATCACAGTCGAGTAATATTTTTATGTATATTTAACATTAGTAATAAAATTAAATATTATGATGTTTGAGTTCAAATTTAAACTTTTGGCAAAATTAGCCTGGCTATTTCCGTACAGGTTGCATGCAAAATCAATTTGGCGGGAAAAGGGAAGAATGCTGATGACGACGACTCCCATTCTGTTTCCTATTAACGAACTTTTACAGGAACAACCCGAACGAACCAAGTATACTGGTGCTGCTGTGTACAAGAAAAAAATTAATAAAGACTGGGGTAAAAAAGCTCCATTTCTAAGTGCTGTGGAAAAGGATCCATCGTCATATCGGTGCAACATTAGGTCTCGGATTTTGTCATGTTCGCATCAAGTTGTGTCAGTGGTGAATCAGATAATTTTGTAGCCTTTTTCTTATGTTCAATGTTTACAAATAATGAATAGAACTTTTATACGAATTATTTGATTTCAGTCTTGAGGATGCGGATAACTATGAGGCGCGGAATTGGACATTATTCTGAACTTATTATATAACATACACAGTGATAATTTTCAAAAACTTGTGCTAAACTTATAAAGGCCATTCTAAACATCATCATATACATTCAGAACTTCTTGCATCGTGTTGTCAAATTGTATAACTTATTCTAAACTTTTAAATAACATGCCAAAGTTTTTTATAACATGCCAAACTTTAATTTTGCCGCGACCCATTTTACAACGTATTCCAAATTTTTATGAGACATGCTAAACTTTTATGATATGCTGAAAGCACTTTTATATCGTGTTGCATAATGCATTGCGGTCGCATGCCTGCACAACCCGACAAATCATAGCCTGTGCCTGAGCTGAAAATCGGCAAATAAGTGGAAACCTTCGAACTGCGCTTTGTAAATTGTAAATTGTAATATTGCTCATGAAGCTAGGAACTTATTGGACAATTTCGACGATCGATATAGTTTGGCAATCTAGAGGCAGTTGATGCAATCAACATCAACAACAACGCAACCTGCTCCAGAAGGCGACAGAGAAAGAAGTGTGACGGTCGTAGGCCCATATTAAAGTACAAATGTGAGTAATATAAGGCCATTTAATATCCACACCCCCCTGTTGACTAAAGGTTACTGATTGTAGACACTTTCGGAAACGACTTTTCGGGAGACATCCTCAGAAATTCGCTGTTTTTTGTAAAAAAACCTCGGAAATTTACGATTTTTCTCAAGGCCCTCGGAAATTACCCTGGATTCCAGAGCCTTCAGTAAATAATAAATTGAAACGTCGTGAAGGCTCTGGTTGAACGGAAGGATTCTTAATTTGATTAAACCGTGCCAATTACAAAACAGAATTAGTGGTTTTGGTACAGAATCTGTACCTTTGATCTGTACAGTATCTGTACTAAAACCACTAATTCTGTTTTGTGATTGGCGCGGTTTAATCATATTAAGAATCCTTCCGTTCAACCAGAGCCTTCACGACGTTTCAATTTATTATTTACTGAAGGCTCTGGAATCCAGGGTACTCGGAAATACCTGTTGACGTGGTTCAATTACGATAGACCACCTCGGAAATTTTCGACTGATTTATTCACCCCCCTCAGAAATTTTCGGAAATTTATTGCCACCCCTTGGAAATTATCGTCAACAGGTAGTATCTTCCTCTCCCCCCTTGAAAATTTAAAAAAAGTTGACCCCTTCAGAAATTGTCCTTTTATAACCCCCTCAGAAATTTGAACTTAGCAACCCCTCAGAATTTCAGACCCCTTTCGGAAAATCTCGTCAACCGGAGGGTGTGGATATTAAATGGAATGGCCTTATATTACTCGCATTTGTAGGTAATCGTTCCATGTTTCGCTCACCAAAATAGTAAACGTTATGTAATGGTTATTATAGTGTACTGAAAAGTTAACTAGATACCTCCATACACATATATACACACCCTAACCTTAAACCTAACCCTAACCCTAACCCCTAACCTAACCCTAACCTAACCCCTAATACCTAACCCTTAACTCTAACCTATATTTTTGCGCGAAACATGGAACGATAACGTTATGGGCCTACGACCGTCACACTTCTTTGTTTGTCGCCTTCTGGAGCAGGTTGCGTTGTTGTTGATGTCGATTGCATCAACTGCCTCTAGATTGCCAAACTATATCGATCGTCGAAATTGTCCAATAAGTTCCTAGCTTCATGAGCAATATTACAATTTACAAAGCGCATTTCGAAGGTTTCCACTTATTTGCCGATTTTCAGCTCAGGCACAGGCTATGATCTGTCGGGTTGTGCAGGCACGCGACCGCAATGCATTATGCAACACGATATAAAAGTGCTTTCAGCATGTCATAAAAGTTTAGCATGTCTCATAAAAATTTGGAATACGATGTAAAATGGGTCGCGGCAAAATTAAAGTTTGGCATGTTATAAAAAATTTTGGCATGTTATTTAAAAGTTTAGAATAAGTTATATAATTTGACAACACGATGCAAGAAGTTCTGAATGTATATGATGATGTTTAGAATGGCCTTTATAAGTTTAGCACAAGTTTTTGAAAATTATCACTGTGTATGTAAAATATGCCATATATATTTTGAATTTAGCATGTTATATAATAAGTTCAGAATAATGTCCGATTCCGCGCCTCATAGATAACTATAGAGCCGCAAAGCTTCGCCATTTGTGCGAGTCGATCACATGTAGAGCAGCCAAGTGCGTAACGCTTACTCTTCTAGAAAGATAGTTCCAGATGATCATGAAGAGTACTGTTTACAGATTTACAAACTGAACAAAAGAACAATTTTGCATATCTCAACACTCTCACCACCTCTGCACACGCGTAAACTTCTCGCAGTTTATCAGTAAGATATGTTCTCATTGCTTTGTCTGCACATAACAAGTTGTTAACAAGTTGGTGACAACAATTTCGCTGGTAACAACTTATTACAAACAGCCTCAGTTGACGTTGTTGAAAAAAACTTGTATAGCAGGATAGTTACCGTCATTAACCTTATAGAATAAAGGTAATAACAACTTTTTCCAAACTTTACAACAACTGGGAACAAGCAGTGTAAACACATCTTCACATTGACATGACAACAACGTTGTTTCAACTTGTTTCCAGATTTGCGCGAATTTACGTCTCCAGCTAACTCATTGCGACAACTCAGGTCAACTAAAAATATACATGCGTCGACAAAGGGTTAAAAAGTTGCTACATCTCACCTTCCCAAGAAGCGGTAGCAAATCCACCAAATGTAAATTCACCAACTTTAATGATGGTAACTGTCGGTTTCTTGTAGTCACATTTGCTATGGAAGGTACTGGTTGCCCATCCATCTCTAGTTGCACGCCAACACAATTTCGCAGTGACGGTTTGCCCAATCCATGATCTTAATAAACGATGGTCGTTCAATTCTCCGGATAATATGACTGATTTAAGAAACGAATCTAATCAACATTGAAAAATAAAAACTTAGTTTTAATTGATTTCAAGTCAAACTACTCAAATTAATTAAGTAATTAAATTGTTAAGGTATGCATGAAAAGATTTTTTTATTGTCTTATTTAAAAGAACTTTATCAAAATGATAATATGCATATTTCTCGAGCTCTGTTAGAATATTAATTCTATCGAGTGAGATGCGCAAAATCCTGATATGTTCATTAATGTCGTATTGGCATCACTTGGCACTGTCGACCACTATATCATTAATTATTTTTTCCCTATGTTTAACTATATCTGTCTTTGCCTGTCAAAAGCAGGCATTGATAATACTGTTAATTCTCTTACCTTATTCCGTACTTGTTTTATATATTTTGTCGTATTTATTGTAAATAATTGTCTGTATGTTTGTATTAATATATTCTGGAATGTGATTATATTTTTGTCTATATTTTGTTTTGACTAAATCCATATCATATTTTTGTTACATGATCGCCTTTATATTTTTAGTATAAAAGCTCATGTAATTTCCCCGACCCCCGCTAGTAACTCCAGGCAAAGGGCCTTTGTATTATGTATTATTTGTATCCAGGGCCTCTAATACGTCCGTATTCTCCTTAAAATTTTCAGATAGTTGAATCCTACCTATATTTTTTTTGCATTTTTAGTTACTCCAAAAATAATATAATGGCAGAATGGAACGTCGTATAAACTTTTTATTGCTTACTTTCATCAACATTTGAAGACATTGAGATTAATTTAACATACGATTTCTAATCATCCTAGAAACGTTTAGTGATTGAATGATTGACTCAAACTTAGAGAATATTTATACCTGTGCAGTTCTCTTTTCCATCCCCCACGAGTCCGTTTTTACATTGACAGTTGTATGAGCCCTGGGTATTGATGCAAGTTGCATTTGGATGACAAGTGAAGTTGCCTTCGCAGCATTCATCAATGTCTGAAATTATCAAAATATTACTATCTATAGCTTGAATTATATGTGTGTTAAATAAAAGTACTGATATAGCAGAATACGTAGAAGCAACGCTATAATGTTTAGATATCTATAATCGCTGGAATTTAATTTCCAATACATCTAACGACCTCGAATCCGGCAGTTCTGACAGTGAAAATTTAGGGAAGAACTGTAAGCCTGGCAGGTCGAGATCAAATCGATATTATCTGGTGAATTTTAGAAAATAAAAACAATGGAGAACTGATTCATAAGTTCATTTAAGGGACCGGTCATTAATGACAGGGGGGCGGTGGAAATGAAAAATCAGATTTTAACATTTTGTTGGCCCCCCGTTGAGGACAATACAACTATATTTGACAACCCCCGCCAAGGCACATACGCAATTTCCAGTTCGATAAAGTGAAGCAACATTTAATCATGCATTTATACATGTTTTCTTAATTTATATATTTTTAGAGTCAACGGCTGTTCCAATGTACATGTTTATGTTGAAATCAGTTTAATAAATGGTGTTGTGTTGGAGTTAGTACAGTTCTACTGCTCCCTTTTTTTATCTGTACGTTTAATGACACAATGGAATCACGCGGGTCAGGTATTTGTATTGCACAAAAATGTTCCCCCCCCCCCTTTTTCCATGCACAAAAATATCTGACCACTCCTCTTTTTCCACCAGCCCACCCTTCCCTTTAATTATTGACTGATCCCTAATGAATCGCATCTGCCCGTTTTGATACTTGAAGAAGTTGGTCAAGATGTGGTTTTGTTACTCTGAAGATATAATACATTCCCGTTTTGAATCTCCCTAGTATATTGCACCTACAAAAATCATAATTTGGGTTTGCGGCCCTTTTACCGAGATACAGTATTAAAAAACTTACTGTCATTTTAATATTACACGATCTTCTTACACTATCATGCTCTGACGTTTTATGAGTATCCTAGCTAGGCGCAGCCAATTTAATTAAATTGACAGTGGGACTTTGTTAAAAATCTACATCGGAATGAAAACATGCATATCTAATGGCGTAAAGAGATGCTGAATATCACCGCGGAAGAGGCGGGATCTGGGCATAGATATCTTATATACACTAGATAGCGCATCTCTTTTAGTTAAATTGAAGCCAAGAATATTCCAGCGGTTACCCCCATTTGAATAGATGGCGGCCATGTTGGTCGTTCCCACTTGGTAATAAACGCTTAAAAACAACAATAACTTTCATGATTTCAATAGTTTAAAAACGTATTTGGAATAGGGTTAACTTAATGTTTAAGTTCCCTGTTTAAGAAATAGAAAACATACGAATCTTCTCATTTTATGGGAACGACCTGAGACTGCAATCACGGCTTCAATTCTTGAATTTCAGAATAATTAGATACACTATCTAGTGTATATAAGATATCTATGGATCTAGGAGGGTTTTCATTCCGCCCACCTCCCCGATAATTTTCATGAAGCTGAACGCACTTGCCCTTTTGTGCTTGGTTTGGGAAATTGATATACTATAATGAATACTAATAGTTTCATGCCCAGCAAGCCATACTATCGTTCCAAGCAAGGTTGAAGTAATATTTCAAATCCAACTATATATATGTGAGGACTGGACTAGATTTCAAGTTTGCGCAATTTGATCAAATTCGAAGCTAAAGCCGAGGATATATAGGAGATATATCAAGATATATAGGAGAACTTGAAATCTATTCTTACACAGTCAAAATTGAAAGATTTACAATTGACATCTCATAAGAATAAATCTCTACGTAATTTAATTTAAATTGAGGTGAATTAATTTTGATCCAGTCCAAGGACTGTATTGAGAGGCAATTTTTTTCAATGTCACGTATTTGCAATGAAAAGTGTTCAAAACCTAAAATCTTTTTGGCGTCCCTCTCAAAATTACTTTGTTTTAGCTTTACTCTCCAGTTTATACAATTAGCAACTTTTTAAATGCATCTGCCGGTTGAGAAACATAAATAATAGTCAAAAATTGTCAACTAAAATATAATTATCAATGATGCTTTAAAATTGAAGCCATATTTACAGCCAATATAAGCAAAACTTACTGAACTTCAGACATCATATTCTCTTTGGCGTATCATCTAAAATCTCTTCATTTTACTTTTAGCATTATTTTACAAATAAAGCACTAAACATACTTTTTAAGTTTGTTTGCCAATTGAGAAACGTATCGAAAAATAGAAATTTTGAATTTAGTTATAACCTCAAGTGATATATTATACGCATTAGTTTTGAGCGCGTGTTACGTAACATACAAAAAATCTCCTCTTGATATACTTCATCAGGTATTCAGTATTATTATGGGAGCAAAATTAAGGTTATCACCTACGAAATGACAGACTCATTGCATGTACAATGGGTGATAATGTCGCATTTTCGAGCTAAACTAATTACCTGTAAAAGCACTTTCGCCTCGTTAATTGCTGTCCCAAAGGACGGCTCTTCCCTGTTCTCCATATAGTTAATGATATATTGGAAAGAAGTAGTCAAAAATTTGTAAGTAACGCAGACAAACGATCTAAAAATTAATTTAAGAATGCGGCTTCGATGTACAGTATATATTACTGCTCGATCTGCCGTTTGGGAGGTGAATGAATTTCTTTTGTACCAAATGCCTTGGAACCAACCGTGAAAGGGTGGAGTAGCTCTACTGAATTCTTGCAAACCAGTAGTTCGCGCATTAACTTCATTGAAATGTCTCTCAATAAAAAGACGAGCATTGTATCCATGCATGGGTTACGGATACTTTTTATCACATGATACTCACGACATGTATGGAATTAAATTATTGGAAAAAGGTGTGCAGAACTTCTTCAATTGCAACGGCCACAAAAATTATTGTACCTGAACAATTTTTTCCTTTTCCAGACCAACCAATGTGGCACTGACAGTTGTATGAACCTGCAGTGTTGGTGCAGTTGGCGTTAATATCACATTCGTTAGCCAATTTATTGGAACATTCATCAATATCTGGTAAGATACAGTATAAAAGCAATAATAAACTTGTTATATACAAACCACCTGATAATAATACATGTGAGACGGATTCAACCAATAAAACCATAGGGTATCTTAACAATGACCATATATATGCTGACTAAAGATGCCCAGTAGATTTGACAGGATAAAGAACAAAGCGGAAAAAACAAGAATAACTGATCATGAACGAGAGAGTCACTATAGATTCATGGAACAAAGGCGTATCAGAAACAAACACGTATGAGGTTACTTTACTTTGAAGAACAAAAAGCATTAAGTTAATAGTTTATGTGCATAGTTCATATAAAATCGTCAATCAAATTAGAAGTTGTCCGGTAGAATTGAAAGACAGTATATATATATACCTAGATAATATATTGAATTGCTGTTCTTATTACCGAGTGGCTATGTATATACTCAGATTTAATTTGTCTTACTGTTGGTTTATAATATTATGTGGAATAGCGGAGTGTTTCTCGTTTTATCAATTAGTATATGTATGCCTTCATATCGGATATATATATATATATATATATGCATGACTATACTCGTATTAATTTTTCTACCTTTTTCACAAATTTCTCCTTCGTACCCTTTCCCACATAGACAGCCGAACGTTTTAACTGAATGCCAGATCATTGTTCCACCATTTTGACATTCATTTACTTCTCCTCTGCAGGATGCCTGCAAAAAATTCATTGCGTGATCACATGCACAAATACTGGTATCCATTTTAGAGACCGACAAAGTTTAAATACCAGACAAGTTTTGTTTTATGTACAATAGTGGATTCATATTTAAACCAACATTTAAATATACTAATTCCCCCTTAGTTGTATGTCAAACCACCAAATGTCCCTATTGTACTATTATTTTATATCTGCATTTTTGTCAACCAGCGCGCATATAATTAAAAGCTTAAAAATAGTAGAAAACAACAGTTTTATGTAAATTATGAAAGAAACGAACACACAACGTTCAGAACCTCATGCCCAACAGAGAAAAACGGATACATATAGATCTGCTAACAATAACCAAGGATTTTACTTCATAGCAAAATGAAGGGTTACTAAATAATTGGATCTATATACTGCAGAGACTTTAATTCCTTTACTGTATCTTTGGATTTGTCTTTTCCGAAAACAATATTTTTGAGAAACTCTGGAATTAAAATATTTTATAACAGTGTGACATCGATTCTGACATCAACAGGGGCCGGATCTATACTCTTTGTCCACACATTTTGCGAAAAGTATATAATACTTGCTTACCACCTGACTTCGGTCCACATTAACTTTTATGAACGTCCAAACTCGTTCTTTTTCGCTGGAGATATTGTCAAATTTTCGTGCAGTCGAATTCGTCAATTGGCAGTTCGATTCATTCCACCCAGCCTTCTTCTTATAGTTCACTGCAACACAGAAACGGTTTTCCGCGCATTTGAGGCCACAAAACTCATAACTTGTTTCTCTCGATTCAGCGATGATGTTTGTTTTTAAACTAGGCACATCTAAATATATATATATTGATTCATTATCGCAGTTTTCATGTCTGATAGAATCATGGCTGCTGGTGTGTTAGCAACTGACTGTTCTTTATTTGTTGTAAATATGCCGTCAATTTACATGCGCGTTGACATATATAGGAAGCGTATATTGAAGAGTTTGAAGACGAAATTGATCAGTTACATGCAAAACAGAAGTTCTGTCGTGCTTATGGGTGCTTTATTATATTGACAGATTGGTGAACCTAGAACATTTCATGCAATTCATTGAGCGAGAGCGGCGTAATTGTGGCTGATCATGATCTTATGGAAATCACTCTCTTGCATCCACAAACTCCCAAACATCTACTAGTGTAGTAGTGGTCCATGCAAATGAAACATTTTTGGCGAATGGAGGACTACGGATATCTTACTGCGATTGATCGCATTATGATTAGAACAGACGAATGTCACTTAGTGAAAACGTGTCTTGTAGAAAGAGAAGCAATCATAAATTTATCATAGCTACCATAATCCAGTTAATGTTCACTAAATTTGGCTGTTTTAGGGAATGGAAATTCACAAAGGCTAAAGCCTTATGTGGATTATCGCGTGGAATACAATTAAACACGATAAGATTTTGAACCGCTATTTGAAGCAAAAGTCAGGCAAGGTTTAGAAGACATTCCAGATACTCATAGTGATATTAGGATACCTGCAGTGAAGGCGTGGAACGGGCTATGTCTAAAGTTTCTCATGTTCTTAACTATGCTGGCTCTACCTCTATTCCAAAATAGAAATTCAAACGACATCTTGAACCATATTGAAAGGACGGCGACACGGCGTTGAAAGGACAGCAATACGGCCGCTCGTGCATGGTACTACGAAGGAGTGCAGGCGAATATGGATTTATAAGCGGTAAGCCACACTCGTCCAGTCACCTTGCTTTCAAAGTTAAATATAAGGATGCTATATATAAGCGATAATTTTATGAAAGTACTGCGAAGAAACCGTGATCATGATGACTTTTTACTCCCTTAGATCACCCTTCATTTAACAACAACTTTAAGGCGTTCGTTGAAAACCATATCATTATACAGCTATTTCAATTAAGGTTGTCCCCGAGCAAAGCGGAAAAGTCGAATACGAGCGCGAAAGACTGCCTTAATTGAAATAGCTGTATACCTAACCCGAATTTCAGACAGTCACTCCATCGAGTGATCGTCTGAAATTCAGGCTAATATGTAGACAGCTATATGAATTACGGTTGTCCACGAGCAAAGCGGAAAAGTCGAATACGAGCGCGAAAGGCTGCTGGGAATCGCTAACAAATTAATTAATTTTCAAAGCAATTCCCAGCAGCCTTTCGCGCTCGTATTCGACTTTTCCGCTTTGCTCGTGGACAACCTTAATTGAAATAGCTGTATACCAAACCGAAAGTCATAATGCTGTTGATGATCCAGTAGTGGAAAAACCCTTTACTGTCAATGAGGTCAGTAAAATTTGTAAAGAATATCCAAACGGTAGAGCTGGAGGCGAAAGTGGTTTAGTATACGAACATGTAAAACATGTTGCGCACGTTTCTTCAATCAAGATGATGAAGGAATTTATCTGACATTTATTAGTGGTAATATTTCATCCTTCATAGTGACTGTGATGATGCTAATCGAGACGACTTCGCTTGAAGTCAGTACTTTGAACAATGAAATTTAATTGAAAATTTTAATTAATTACATAATCCTTTATGTACTAGATAAAACATGAGCAGCCGATCTTTATCTGATATACAAACTCGAGCCGAAGGCAAGAGTTTGTATATCAGATAAAGATCGGATGCGAATCGTGCTTATATGCTTTTATCGTGCTTATAAAACGACCCATCTTATGAGTTCATTGGCGAAGTAATTTTAAAAATAACCATTGTCTAAGCCGAGAAAATCGAAGCTGAAGTTTATGTAAATCAGGTCAAATCTTTATGGGATTTACAAACATTGATTAACATTCATTTCTTTTGTATTTTCCTCAAAAATTATTAATGAGTTTTATAAGAATTATTAAAAAAATCATTAATAATTCACGAGGAAAATACAAAAGAAATGAATGTTTAATCAATGTTTGTAAATCCGATAAAGATTTGTCGTGATTTACATAAACTTCAGCATTGATTTTCTCGGCTTAGACAATGTTTATTTTTAAAATTACTTCGCCAATGAACTCGTAAGAAGGGTCGTTTTTTAAGTACGATTTTCGGCTCGAGTTTGTATATCAGATACAGATCGGCTGCTCATGTTTTATCTAGTACTTAAAAATTTAACTCTAGATAGCTATAGCTTTTACTATTTTAAACTTCTCAACTGGAAACTTCTCAAGCTCTCACGTGGAACTTGTCAACTACAGTGGTTTGATAGAATTGTTTGATGATTGTTTCTGTTACAGTAGCCCGTATTGGGTACTTCCCCGGGTAGAAGAATTTGCATCACAGATTACGTCATCAGTTAGTTATAGTGATTAGTGTTGGAGTTAGGGTCGGGTTTAGGGTTAGGGTAAGGGTTAGGGTAAGGGTAAGGGTTAAGATAGGGATTAGGCTTAGAGATAGGGATTGGCAGGGCGCTGTAAAACACGGGCGGTGAAACGGCTATGGCGCCCCTGATCTATGTGTGATGCAGGTCCCACCGCATATTTTCATTTTTATTCGAATTCGATGTGGTTTGATCAGGCATGCATGTTTGTTTTGACTTCTTTTTAAAATTACTACGTTAAAAGGTACAATTCAAGCTGAATTCACAATGGATTTGGGATCTGTGCTATTACTATAGACAAAATCTTTTTTCCGGATTCTTAATCACGGCTGATTATATGGGGAATGTTGTAGTGTAAGATATAAGTCTGGGATCTCACTCACGAGGATCGATTGTTTTTGCAAAACAACTTCGTTCGTTTATAAGATGAAAAAAAAGACGAAGACAAAGTTTTTTTTAAACGGCTGTTGTTGTAAAACCTGCAACTGGAATGTGTGTTTGGAAATCAGGTATGTTCAATCACATGTATTTTTGTCAAGTTCCACCAGATGAAGCGCCATAAATTGATAAAAACAGCAAGTTCTTTTTTTCAAGCGATAGTTTGTTGTCGCAGTTTTACAAGCGCGGAAATTTTTTAACTTTTAAATATTTCATGCACAATATATGAAACCTATTTTTATTTTGATGTTTTTGTATAATTTAAGTACGTAATTTTCTGAAAATCACCAAATGAAAATGGGCTTTTTTAATTTTTAAACATTTTTTTGGCCTTGTTTTTGATATGTGCATGCCAAATCTACACATGAAATACAAGCAAGCGATAGTTTGTTGTCGCAGTTTTACAAGCGCGGAAAATTTTTAACTTTTAATATTTCATGCACAATATATGAAAACTAGTTTTATTTTGATGTTTTTGGATAATTCAAGTACCTAATTTTCTGAAAATCACCAAATGATAATGGGCTTTTTTAATTTTTAAACATTTTTTTGCCCTTATTTTTGACATGTGCATGCCAAATCTACACAATGCCATAACGAATGCAAGCAAGCGATAGTTTGTTGTCGCAGTTTTACAAGCGCGGAAACTTTTTAACTTTTAAATATTTCACGCACAATATATGAAAACTAGCTTTATTTTGATGTTTTTGGATAATTTAAGTACGTAATTTTCTGAAAATCATCAAATGATAATGGGCTTTTTTAATTTTTAAACATTTTTTTGGCTTATTTTTTACATGTGCATGCCAAGTCTACACAATGCCATATCGAATGCAAGCAAGCGATGTAGTTTGTTGTCGCAGTTTTACAAGCGCGGAAAATTTTTAACTTTTAAATATTTCATGCGCAATATATGAAAACTAGTTTTATTTTGATGTTTTTGTATAATTTAAGTACATAATTTTCTGAAAATCACTAAATGATAATGGGCTTTTTAAATTTTTAAACATTATTTTGCCCTTATTTTTGACATGCACATGCCGAAATCTACACATGGAATTCAAGCAAGCGATAGTTTGTTGTCGCAGTTCTACAAGCGCGGAAAATTTTTAACTTTTAAATATTTCATGCACAATATATGAAAACTATTTTTATTTTGATGTTTTTGTATAATTTAAGTACGTAATTTTCTGAAAATCACCAAATGAAAATGGGCTTTTTTAATTTTTAAACATTTTTGCCCTGATTCAGTTTGACATGCCATGCCAAAATCTACACATGGAATAGCATTGCCTTCGACTTTGCGTTTTTGAAATCTGACACCCTATGAAAAAAGCTGGAAAAAAGTATGTTTAAACAAAAAAGCCCATTCTCATTTGACGATTTTCAGAAAATTAGGTACTTAAATTATCCAAAAACATCAAAATAAAAATAGGTTTCATATATTATGCATGAAATATTTAAAAG